AGGTACGTCTATTAATTTGATCAATAAGTATGCAAATCTAACATATAAACTCTCCGACATGTCGGCTGACTGATATTTTAAGTTTCTCAAACTTTGGAAAATGTGTTAATATCTTTGCTCCAGGTAATAATGTAAATTGTGGAATTGATCCTTTATTTAAATATTCGAATTTAATTATATATAGATTTTTTTTCAACTCTATTAACTTGATTGTATTCACATTAATTAGCCATAAGATAATAAATACTTTTATATCTTAAATAATTGCTTTTTATTTTATAATTAGGTGCTGACATTATGGCTGCTGGAAATCTGTCTCCTACTGATTTATTATTATTATCAGGAACCAGTCAAGCAGCTCCTCATGGTTTGTAATTATAAATATTCTATCAAACAAACATTTTTTTTACATATATTAGTATTCATCCTAAGCTTTCTATTAAATAGTTGCTGGAACAATTGCTTTGATTATTGCATCTAGTGGAAATAGATCTCCAGATAAAATGAAGGAATTCCTCGACAAATTATCGACAAAAAATGTAGTAAAAGGATCTATTGGAGGTGCTCCAAATAGATTTTTACGTGTTCCACATTCTTAATCCTTCTACCAACAACTGTTGCTAATTACTCATATTACTTATTTCATTATAGAAGTTTATTTTTTATTTATATTTGAATGACCTTAATATAAAAAACTTTTAATAATTTAATATTACATACAATATATAATTTTGAACCTTTAATTAATATAATCTTTAATATAAGAAATCTAAGCATTTAGAAACCTTTTATACAAAATTTATTGCTCAACTGTAATTAATATCTTCATAACAAAAAATGATCTTTATTTTTCATTATTTTCACTATTTATATATTATTTTTATTTAGTCATTTACTATATTTGGTTTACCGTTTGCATAAAATTAATTTCTTTTATTTTTTGTCATGCCCTATCTAATATCATACTAAAACATGTTCAAATCCATCATTTTTTTAAATTGATCCTTGATCCAGAGCAGAGGATTCTCAATTCCTATGCAGTGATTAGTGGTGCGGGTGGAACTTGAAGCATTGGGATGTGTCGTAACGTAACTGAGTTATAACTAGTTATAACTTTTTGCTATGCTGTAACTTGCATATATGAACAATCATAAAAACGATAAACACATCACAATTTTGTAACTTAATACTTGATGAATCTAAGCTAGAATCTAGAAGCAGTATCTAGTACAGAATAGTACATAGTATATAGTATATAGCATCTAGTAGTGACCGAACGGTCGGGCACTTGATCAAGTCAGTCCATAACTGACCAGAACAAAACCCAGATTTTGCTAAATGATTAAATTTTTAATGCTAACGCTAAAGAAATTTTTTTTTAATTTGATACTTTTAATTGCTTTAATTTGATGCTTTTAATTAAAATTAATTTATGCTATTCTTTAGCGGTTTATGTAATTTATATGAAACTTCATTCTCACCAAGAATTTACGTAGACACATGTATGAACGTATAGTATCTATTTCAGAACTGTTTCGTTTATTTAATATCAATTAAATTAGCATTATTAGAAAGTATCCGTTTCACAGAAACAATAATTGCATGATGATCCCTAGCCTTCATTAGATAAACTTGAACCAGAACAGTGTTATGTATTTTTTAGGCCGGGTTTAAAATTCGAATTACCCGGGTTTTCTGACCGTTTAGAAGTACTAGCATCTAGCATCTACGTAGCGTATATACGCATAAAAATGGCGGATGAAAAATTTTTTCTTATATAGATTGAGAGAGTTTCGATTGTAGATATAAAATACGAGAAATAGTAAAAAAGAGAACAAACTGCGCAATAAATCACAACCAAACAGGTAAAAGCAGTCGAGAGCACACCAAAATTGTAGATCCAACATAAGCTTATATGAAATAAGTAATGACGATTTTCAACATTCGTATCTTACAATATGTCTGAGATTCTTAATTATAGAAAAAATTTCAAATTATTAAATGATATACTGTATATCTTTTTCCTCTTACGCCAAAACTTTGAGTGATTTGAAACTATCGATAAAATAAACCTCAAATTTTGATTAGTTAGCACGCATTAATTTTCATTAGTGTTGGCAATAGAATTCAATGAATTCAATGGAGTTCTGAATAGACCCTAATTTACTACTATTCATTGGTCCATCCAGAGCTTCACTGGGTCTATTCAGAACTTCATTGAACTCAATTGAGCTTTCATAAGCCATAACATCTTGTAATACTATTAAAATAACAAGCACTTGAAGCTAAATTTAAGGGTTCATCATTAAATCAAATATCTTAATTTCAATAAACTATCCTTAATTGTTCTACTGGGATTTTTATTATTTATAAAATATTAATATGAAATAATATATTTTCTTGTAAAAACTTAAACGTGGAAAAGTATTAATTCTCTAAAATACATAGTTTCTTTGCCTTAAATTTTATTCTGAATAAATAACTAATTACAAAATACAAAATGTTAGAGAGATAGTGACAATGTTATAAGGATTTTTAAATATTGTGATATCGAATATTATAAATTGGTCGTTATATTATTGGCTATAAGCTTAGTATTGTAGTATTTTTGCTTGGTGCCTGTTTACAGAGGCCTAGATTTTTTTTAATATATATAGTTAGGCACTCTTCATATACATTCGTGATAGTTTCAGTCTTTCAAACTCAGTTCGTTTCCTTTTTGTTATTATAAGTTTCAAAGTTGATGAACGATACCAAAATGGATGAGATAACCGAAACTTTAAAATACCCTTCAGCAAATATACACACCTTTTTCAATATTTTGTCTGGGTTGATATCTGCGGACTTAGAAAATTGAACCTTTTTGCTAGTCACCAGAATTGACATTCAAGAAAACTGAATTCAAAAAAAACAAAAGATTCATAAATCAATAAATCAACACATAAAAAATGCATACAATACGGAAAATAAACATATGAATATAATATGAAAAATAGTATTTATTACTAAACTCGATTACTAAATTCGAACCAGTAATACATTCTACAGTTCTATTGTAGGTTAATTTTCTCAACTAAATATAGATTTATAACTTGTTTGATTTTTCCTTAAACAATTCAATAAAATAAAAAATAGTATAGCTTCTAAACAATCTATGTGATTCTTCTAACCATAAATTTGTTTCATCAAATAATATTTCTAGACCATTTTCACCAAATTTTTCCTTAAATTTTTTATAATCAAGAAAATAATCTAATCCTTGCTCAGTCAAATATTTATATCCTCCATTAACACTGATTTT